AAATATTTATAAATTGTGTATGAAAGATAATACTAGGAATGCAGAAGTTCTGCTGAAGTGACATGAATGATATCTTCAGGTAACACCAACCAGTTAGGTGTGGAGCTGAATCCTTTTTTATGCTAAAACTTTGTATAATCTTACAGAAAACACTAATGATTTGAGTAAACTTTGGATTTTAAGTATTTTCCTCCAAAGCCAAAGAGAAGGATACTATGTAACTGAGAACTTAAAGCCCCAAATGTCTGGTCTTACTCAAGTTAGACAGTGAAATGAAGTGCAAAAGTAAATGTTACACATGGCTTTATAGGAATTTGCAGAGCCGTTTGCTCTTCTCTCCTGTTAGTACATGTTCTCGTTTGCATGGACACGCTGCCGCCTTGTGGGTGGTGTTTGAGTGTTTACAGCAAATGTGCGTGTGCTGTAGTACTGTCGAGAGAAAGCTCTGGGTTTCTGGTTAAGGAGCTTAATGATTAGCAATGTAGATGCTCAGATGCAATTTTTCATCTTCAGAGTTGGTAAACAAAGGTTTACATTCTGCTTTGAGAAGTCATTTTTGTGAGCAATATGTGAATTCATGTGGGATTTTTTTTACTGTTGACTTTAGAAACTTGAAAAAAAATAAATGACTTGTGTGTGTGACTTTAAATGGAAAAATTAGCAAAACTTGGTTTAAAAAGTAGTCTTTTAACATGTTTTAATGAAATATGGGAAAAGCATCTTAGGAAAACAATTATCTAGATTTAAACCTTTCTTTCATTGTCCCCTAAACATGGAAATATTAAGCATTAAGCTAATCAGCAAGACTAAAGCAACCTAATGTAGTTTTTCTTCTGCATCAGGGAACTGGTTAGTTCGTATTTATGGGAGATTCGGAGAAAAGAAGAAAATAACTTCCTTGGATTCCTGACATGCTGGTCTCATGCTTCATTTGGGAAAGAAGTGGGAATGTACCAAACGCCTTCTTTCTCGACAGGGCTAGGTCCTTTTGCTGCTCTTTGGCATGAGGAGGTCAGGGGGAGAAACTAGCACGTGGAGAGAAACAAGCTCTTTATCCTAGATTTTGATGTCTTAACAGGAGTGTGAATGAAATGCATACAGGGTTCTTGCCTGCTCTTTTGGGACAGCCTTTTGGTGTTTGCCTACTTGCTAGGTATCTGCAGTATTATTGTGAATTCCATAATACGTGTAGGTTCCTTTTGCACGTTAATACTAAGTATTTAATGTATTGAAGATGTGTATAGATCAGCTTTTAGATTAGGGATGGGTATCACTTCTTGATAACTTACATGTTGATTCCTCTTAGGAAATCTTTGGCAATTTGATATGCTTAGTGTCCAGGATTGCTTATGCAAGGAATTATCTTATGAGTATTATTTTTCTAAACAAAAATATTAGCATTGGAAATTCAGTATCATTGTCAGAGAATTTCTAAGTTTAGGCTTTTGATTTTTTTTTTTTAATATGGTTTATGTTGGAAACCATAAAGCTAGAACATCCCTGTTTTTCCCACTTTAAGATAAACTGCAGAGGACATGATTTTGTAATGAGACAATTTCGTCATTATTTTTTTCCCTGAAGGATAGCGTAGATCTAGTAACTGGTTAAGGAAGTTGAAAGATCAGTCATCTTTATCCATATCTTCTACCTTCAGAGACTAATAGTTTACAGAAATTTACAGTTAGTTCTTAAGGCATTTCAACCGAATCATGTAGATACATATGTAGTGTAATTTTTAACAAGGGAGGAAAAAATGCACAGAATTCAAAATCTCATATAAAACACATTAAAGGGCAGACTTTTTTGTGCAACCTAGTGAAATATGTCAGTGCCTTTATGTAAAGAGTTCATCTAAATACTTCTCTCCAAATACTTGCTTCAGATATTAATGTTTGCTTAGCATTTTGCACTCCATTTTCCTCCTAAAGCAATCCCTGTATTTTCTTAATATTGTTCTTCTACTTTACTGCTAGTATTTCTTCCACAGCAATTGCATGTTTAACTTGGCATTCTTTATCCAGCATTTCTGTTAGTAGTCTTCTCAGAGCAACTTATGTTGCTTATTCCCAGGTTTTTTTCTGTATATTTTTTCCCCCATACTTGGATTCCTTATGAGTTACCACCTATATAAAATTCTCTCCATGTGGACTTAAATTCTGGCAACTTGCTGTCTTTATTTTACATTATAACATAATTAAAAAGAAACTAAGGAAACCAATAGCTCATCTTGGCCTTTTTTCATACACGTTTTTGTTACTCTTGAAACTCTTTTCTCTGTCGGAGTCATTCCCCTCCAGCAAAAATATTTTAGCATTCTCTGATCATTTATAGATCCCTGTCTAATCTGACACTCCTGAACATAAATATAATACTGAGCACTGATAACACTGTTCAGTCATGAACTTCAAAAGTACTTAAAGGCTCCAGTTAAGCCTTCTGTGACCACTGTAAGATGTTTTGTTGCTTTAATCCATCGTAACCTACACAAACTGAGTACTGTATCTGGTAATTGAACTTGAAAGATTTTAGTATTGAATGTTATTTGAAAATGAATTTCAGGAGTACTGATCTATGAATTGATGTGACAGTTAGGACCTCTGATTTGTAGCATCTATCCTGCAAGAGGTGCCATTGGAAAATTCATTTCAGTTGTTAGAAGGCTTTTAATTGATGAAATGCACTGTCACCTATCTATTTGTGGCATTGATAGCTTTCATTCACTTTATCTGAGAATAATTTTGTAAACTATGGCAGTGATTACTGATCTTAGTTTAGAAATAATGAATCTTTCCTTGAAATGCTCCCTTTGACTTTCTGGCCTGTGCTGATGTACATGCGACCTATTTCACTGGGGCACTCGTCCTGCTTTCTCCTTCTGAGGCAGCCAGCTCGGATGACAGTCTTAGGAAGAGCGGTCGGAGGCTGAATGATGAAGAGATTTAATAATGAACTGGGTTCACACATGTTAAAGTAATGCGCAGTCATTGAGCAGGTCACCCTCTCAAGGGAATGCTAACTCTAGTGCTATCAAAAAAATCTACTGATAAATTTAAAACATATTGACTTTGTGTGGCATGCAATCAAAAGCTGGTGGCAATAACACAGCAGGGTTCTTAATCAGTTTGCTGTTACAGTTGTGCTCCTGCTGTCATATTTCTAAAGGTTCATTTGTTAATTTGTTGAATAGAATGCTAAAGCAACTTGTACAGTTTCCAACTTCTTCTGTGGTAAGAGTATGTGTAGCATAATATTAGATTTCCAGATAGTATGGAGGAAGATTTTTTTGAAAGAAATTACTACATGTGTTTGCAACACTATGTGCAACATATTCTCATGGGTGTCAAAAGGCTTTTAAATCTATTCGGATTTTTTAAATTTAGTTTGCTTGTGGGAATGTAACTCTTATTAAGCTGAATGCACGATGAGAAATATTGGGTAAATTAGTGTACGTACCTCTTCAAGCCAAATGTATTACTTGAGTATTCTAGGAATAGCAGTGTAGATTATAGCCGCCAGCACTGCAGCTGAATATTGGGATTTTACAATTGCAAAATCTGACCACTGGCTACTAGTATTTAGCTTGCCTCTGTAGCTGGAGTGTCAGAACAGTGATGGCTACTTAGTACAAGTTGTAGTGGTTATTTGCCTGACTTACTGCAGCCAGAAAGGTGATCTCTTTGGGAGGAGGGGGAATGACAAAATACTAAGTAAACAAAAAAAGGCATATCTTTAATTCAGTGGCAGTATGGGTCATACAAGTAGAATTTTGTCAAGATGAGCCCATTTGTCCTGATATGAACTGGACTTTTTGTCTTCCCTCACTGTGAGGGAAGTGATCTTCCACAACAAAGATGTCATCTTGTTTCAGCCACTATCATATGATGTTTTCATCGTTTTTAACAAAAGATCTTGAAAATTACTTCTAGCATTTTTTTTAGTGGGTGATAATACAAGAATTTATTTGCAGAATGAAGTTTGCTCCTGCCCTACAGAACCTTGCAGAAAAGGTCCTGGGGGTCCTGGTTGACATAAGTTAAAATACGATTTAGCAGTGCACCCTTGTGCCAACAAAGGCTAGCAGCATACCGAGCTGTCCTAGAAGTGTAGCAAGCAGGTCAAGAGAAGTTCTTACTATTCCCCTCTTGGCAGTCTTGAGGACAGATCTGAAATACTGTGTTCATCTTTGGGTTCTACAGTGATGATTAAAAAAATGAGTCCAGCAAAGGGGAAACTAAGAGTGTCAGGAGGGTGAAACAGCTGGCATGTGTGGCAGGGTTAAGGGAGCTAGGCTGCTTTAGCATTCAGAAGAGAAGACTCAAGGGAAACCTAAGTGTTGTCTTCCACTATCTGAAGGAGTAGGGGAATCTTGTAGATCCAGATACTTTTCAGAGGAGCACAGTGAAAAGGCAAGAGGCAACAATGTGAAGTTGCAAGAAGGGACATTTCAATTAGGCATAATTTTAAAAAAAATCATTACTGTTTTAAGTGATTAAGTACTGGTTTTTAAAGCATCATCAATGCTTCACATCAGGATTTTTTAAAAAGCATGTGGATAACTAAAATAGATGCTACTTCTCAGAGTGCTGTAATGAAATATCATTGTGCTTCCTGTTCTGATCCATCTTTGTAGAAAGTAGGAAGAAAATTACATATACTTAGCCATTTTAAAGCTAGAAAGAAGAAAACTGAAGTAGGAAAGTGAAAAAATAATCTGCAGTTCAAGAACGATTAATGCTACTAAGGAGTCCCTGAAAATTAAAATCCCAAACGCATGCTTATGTCCATGATAGCAAAGAACATAAACTTCTAATTCACTTTTAATATTTGGGCATGTAGAAGAACAGACATCTGCTGGTTTTAATTACTTTAACTGTCTAACATAAATTATGCATATTAAGCTGCATTTTGATCTAAAATACTTTTTGTTAAAATAATACTGTGTGGTAATATCTTAAGTGGTTAACTCAGACTTTCTAGTTATACTTTCATATTTTAATGTTGGCAGGTGGAATTTTTCTCAGATTCTTGTCCTACTAAAATTATCCCTAACTAAAGATGCATCCAGACCTGTCTCCTCATCTGCACACTGAAGAATGTAACCTAGTTATCAGTCTGCTCAAGAAGTGTCACAAGGAGGTAAGGAGTTCTCAGCAGAGAAAAGAGTGGGTGGGTTGGGAAAATGAATGTCAGATAAATTAGTGAGAATATTATATGATCATAGAGAGAAAAACCTCCTTTAGGCAGAGCAGCCATGAAATGTAGCTAGTATGTTTTCACTGAAGAGGTATCTGACAACTGTGTGCAAAATTTTGCCAGTGATTTCTTTAGGAAAGAAAACATGCCTTAAAATTTCCTGTGCTACAGCTTGACAAGTCTGGACCTATTTTAAGAACTGAAATAGCTTCTGCACCTTTTAGTACTGTGTGCCCCTCAAAAAAACAATAATAAAAGCAACTTCAAATGCCCTCTTTTTGTATGCTCACAGCATTTCCATATTCCAGCTGTCTACTGGGCAGATGCTTCAATCTATTAATAAGCAGTTGTGTTGATGGGGATCTGGACATGCAGCATGCCTTACATTCAGTGTTAGGAGAGCTAAATGCGGTTTACTGTTTGACTTCCATCTTTTTAATAGGGACCTCCCCGAGTATGTAAAATACCAAATTGTCTTCAGGCTTCTCAAGGCTCTTCATTGCTTCAGGAAAACAGAATCTTCATCTTGTTTAAACTAATTTTTTTTTTTAGTTTGCTCTGTAGTAAACGTCTAGACATAGAAGAGTCAGCCTCTGCAATGAAAGCTATCTGCAGCTTTGTTGCAATATTGTTAATTATTTTTGTAGTTCTCTCCTATACCCTAAACAGATGTTCTGTACAGGTATATTTCTGTATTAGTGCATAAAAAGCTCAATTTCATAGATTCCACTGAGACAAAAATATATTTAAATGTAGAATATGAATGTAAAAGAAACGGTTTACACTGTTACATGCAATCTACAGTATTTTCCCCTCCATGTTCAGATGTGATGTTTATACTTTTCTTGTAATGCAGTTATCCATAAATTCAAAGGTAATACATATGTTAGCTTTACTGTTTTAAGCAGATTTCTAAGTTTTTCTTTGCAAAAGTCATTACAGGAAGAAAAATAAGTCTGATATTACATGAAATGTGAGGGAAGACGGTTTGCACGAAAGAGGGATAACAACATATTTGCAGATTTTAAAGTAGCTAAACTAACATATAAAAAAACCTTGCGATACCACACTTTCTTATGATTTCTAAATTACAACACTGAAGGGAGCAGTGTTTTCCTACAAAAATTCACTTGCAATGAGTGCTGTACTGGGTTTGTTCAGCAACATTTAATTGTTTTTTGTTGGTACTTGTAGTGCAATATCTTGAAATGTAAGCACACTGGAATCTGTTGATGCGATCTCGTAGGTAGTACTTCCCATACTGTTGCCTGTCTGTTCCTATGCGCTGTCTAAATTTTTTAAACCTAAGATGCAAAGTTCTTCTACAGAACATCCCCAAGCTTTAAAACTGAAAGTTGTAAAGGGTAAGAGTTATGCTTTTCTTCCGAGTTCTAAAATGTTAATTTGCCTAAAAATGCTTTAGGTAATTTGAGAGATTCTAGAGACTTCCTTTTGTTCTTTTAGTTGATTTTTTTTTTTTTGAAACAACTTTAATGTTGCAATGTAGCTAAAAGTGTTCAGAAGCTAGAATTGAGTGAGAAGGCTCTCCTTGTACATTAACTACTATAGTATCAAAAGGATTGCCAAATAAAATGACTATCAGTTAAGAGGGGAATAAAACTTCTATAGGCAATATAAAATTAAAATGTTGTCATTAATTTTTCATAATTGTGAAAGCAAATCCAATCAGAAAAGAAAATACACTCAGACTTGTCCTGCTTTTTGGTACATGCATAGTTGGACTTAATGTGCTTTGACTACAGAATCCAGAAATATTCATTTACTACTTGAAAATAATGGTTGACTGTTTTGGTTTGTTTTTTTTTTTTTAATAAAAACGTGTGTTAATATACAAATATCATAGGCTTTTTGTGTAATATAGCTTATTAGAGTGCTTTGAGTTTAAGCGGGAGCTGGAACTAAAAGGTGTACTTGAAGTCCTTGGCAGCAAGTGATTCAAAGGAATCTGTTGCCAGTTGGACTTACGAAGGGACTAGGAGCAGCCATAATACGGTCATGCACAGGATTATATTCCCTTGGTTTTGTTTGAAGATGATCTTTAGATGAAGAGGAATTACTTTTGTCAGTCTTGTGCTCAACTATGAGAGGGTATTTGTGCTAGCAGTTTCAGAACAGAAAGGATGAAGATGGCTTCTTTCTTGCTCAGTTGAAAGGAAGCGATACCTTTTCGTTTAAAATTCAAAGGGAATGTACTGAAATATTCTTTTAAAATTGAGTCACTGAAATCTGAAGTCAGTGATCTTAATCAGTTATCAGTGACTACCTGCTGTTTTGTTATAATGCCAAAATGTCCCAAGAACCTTCATCTACAATTTAAATTAATATTCCTGAGGGATGAAAAGCATTATTTTTTAATTGGGTGTCCTTTGTATGCACTTTCACAAAAGTCAGTTTGATTTACTTTATTCCTGATCTAGAACCTGCCTATTCTATCAAGTTTTGCATCTAGTGAGGAGAGGTTAATGGGATTCCTATTTGATGTCATCATTTAGATTTTTTTTTTTTTTTAACAACTCCACGCTGGTGCCAAGTGCGTGCTTTAAAAAGACTTATTTTTATAGGTGGCAGATGAAAGAAATGCATATTGTCTTGCAACCGTATGACTGTAATAAGCATAATAACTGTTTTTGAGAAACTGATTCTTTTTTCCTCATAATCTGAGCGAAAAAGTTGACATCTTAGGAATCTGGCTTAATTAACTTAGATTCCCCAGCTACCTCCACTCTGTGGAGTGGAGGTAGCTGGGGAATGCCTTTGTGAGGACAATGCCTGCTGTTCTTCAGAAACTAAGTAACGGTTAAGTATGCATACTCACTGTATGCACTAGTAAGAGTGGAGTTAGCTTGAAATGTGAGCACTCACCTTGAAATTTAACATGCAGGTATGGGAATAAAATACAAAATTAAATCTATATTAGCTAAAATGAAAATGTTGTAAAAGCAAGATCAGCTTGCAGTAAAGTGACCACTTATCCCATGCAACTGCTTCAGAGTGTCATCTGATGCCCTTTTATAAAGCAGAGAGGTATAAACAAGCTAATTATAGCACTGCTACAGTTAAGTGTTTGTCATAATCTTTATTAACCCACTCCTACTTTCAATCCAGTTCTAGTGGCTGAAATCTTGTCCGCTGTTTGAATTCATAATAATGTTCCTGTATTACCTGTATAAATCCATCTAGCTGCTCATCAGCTACAGGAGTGCGCGTAGGTTTCCCTCTGAAATATGGAAGTGACTTCATTCTCATCTGTTTTGTTCTTCATGGTCCTTTTTTTTTAAAAAAAAAAATTAATTAATTTTCTAAAAGATTGGTTGAATTGTCTCTATTGATTGTATAGCTGTAAATATTGACTAAAACCTCCACTCCTTCAGGTCTTCTGAATTGCTTGGATGCTCTGCTGCCAGATTCTGCTATGAGATTCTGTGGCATGGTAGCAAGCATCACTCTGAAAAATTAGTCCTTTTAGAAGAATGTATTCTGACCATGATTTGATGGCTGATAATATGAAATTGCTTCAGGAAATCCTGGCTAAGAGGACAGATTTTTATGGTGAATATTGTCAGGTTAGCTGGGGAATGCCTTTGTGCGGACAATGTCTGATGTTTTTCAGAAACTAAGTAACAGTTAAGTATGCATAAGGCCCACAGTTGACCTGTGTCATAAAGATGGTAGATGCAACTTATTTATTAACCTCACGATCTGGAGAAACTTAATCCCCTATTTTTTTATACTGGTTCTAACATTTCAGTCATTCAAGCCTAGTGCCTGCATCTTCTGGACCAACACCACGTTCTTCATGTGGTTGGGATGATGAAGCATCAAGTCATTTGCCTCTCTGGGTCATGAAGAAATAATGCACAGAGGACACTGCCTCCAAGATGCCTGTACATCTCTCTACATCGTTCTGTATCACAAACTGGAGTTCAGAATATTTATTTTTGTGTGTTATTAAAGCTAGTGTGAGTGAAAGTTGTAAGACTGATTCCTAGATCAGTGAAATGTATGTTCTATGTTTAGACTTCATAGCTTCAGCTTAGGTATCCTATTTTAGTCTGGTTGTACAACACGGTGAATACCCTGAACTTTCAGTGAGGTGGGCGTGCTCAAATAAGGTTCAGGAGTAGCTCAAACTTCTAGCTACTCAGTAAAAAAGTTACAAAGCATCATTTTTCACAAAAAGACAAAAGGAAGACCAGGATGTGTTGCAAAATGCAAGTGACTTCTAAGAAATTTAGCGCTTCAGAGGAAGAAACCTTTGAATTGTAATTTTTTTTTTCTCTCCCTAACTTATCAGCACAACATTTTGAAATTTTTTGGCCATTGCAATGATATTGACCGTGAGATGCGGAAATGCTTAAAGAAAGAGGTAAGAAACAAATTTACTATGAGTTAAAATGCTTAATAAAAAAAAAGTCCATGGGATAGAAATAGAGTTGCCTTTTACTAAGTAGTACAGATCAATAAATGTAAGCACACATTCTGGAGTGCACATTTGAGACCAAATTTAAACTTTTTTTGATACATTTGTCAGGTAAAATCTGGCTTTAGCAAATGGCATGGTCTATTTTTGGATATACAAAAATAGGCAAACACACATTTTAACCAAATATTGCAAATAGGAACTGACACTTCACAGATTGCTTCTGATTTTTTTTTTTTTTTTTTTAGTAGTGGTATGCGCACAGAATGGAATATAAAGCATTAACGGTCACTTCTGCATGAGTAACACTTATTACTGAAGTCAGTTATACTGACTGAAACTACTTGATGAGTTGCTAAGTTAGGCCGTAAATGAAAATATTACTGTTTAGGACCTCCTCATTGCTGTACTACATCTGCAGATACGAAGGAATGGAAGACTCTAGGAGTTTAAGCAGATGAACTAGCTAATGGGCACATTTTCAGAAGAGTATCAACTGGTCTTTATATTTGTGGTTGTCATGCCTACATAACAACACATAAATGAACTTTTCACACACCTTTTAACTTGAAATTGTACTTACTACTTTTGACATAAATTTCACAGCCTTGTCTAAAAAGGGAAACTTCAAGTGCATGATGGCCAGAACAGTTTAGGCCCCCTCTTTTCCCTCTGTCAGTCTATGGGAATTAATTTCATCTGCTTGTGTCAAATACTGTTTGTTTCCCTCGCTACACCCCACCCCCCCGTAAATACTGAAGCACAGATCTGGAAAATAATGAAGTAAAGTTTCTTTCCATGTAATCTTATTTTTCTTTGTTCCACTGAAGCCTTTATATTAAAAGGAGTTCTTGATAGCTATATTTGTCTGCCTTCTTAAAATATGGCTACATTGATATGCCATTACTAGGAAGCCCCTGAAAGGCTGTTCACAAGTATAGAATAGGTGCAGATGTAGCTTTTAAAGATCCATTGTTCTCATTCTACATAAAAACATGGATGAGTTACCAAAAAATTAAATATTGGCATGGGAAAAAGTTAAACATTCTGTAAATGTTAAGTAATGTTTCGGGCCATTATTTCAGTCATAAGCCAATCAGTATAATGAGTGAAAAAATGCAAATCCTTTCCAAGATCGATCTCCTTTGTAGTTTATTACGTTATATAGAGAACTGAGTATTTGTGGGTTACTTGGGTTTTATTCTTGATACCAATTATTAAGAAATTGAACAAATATGCTCTAAGTTAAGGCCAAGAATAATTTCCTTCTCATGAAACAGATACCCAATAATGCATTGATTTTTTTAATTTTTCATTTCTTTTAGCAGTGAAAAAGTTTCCTTTTTGGCTGCCATGAAAGAAAGTTGGGCTCGTCAGGATTTTGCTAGTGCAGAGGCATACTTGAAAGCATGGTCTTCTTATGCATGTATCTAAACTGTGAAGGCTTTCTTGATTCCATTTACATTACAGTCCTGTCTCTGTTGTTTTCCTTTTTTAAACCATAAAAGCCCCCAAAATGCCTTACCCTCATTCAACCCAAATTTGCCTTTGCTCCTTTCATCTTGGTATACTACTTTATCTGTGCATATAATTAATGACCTGGATCAAAAATAGAGCAAGTCTGTGATGACAAATTCATGTTTCAGAAGGCAGACACACTTACATTAATCAGTATCTTTTAAAAGGAAAAGAGCCTGACCTGTGTTCTAGAATAGCACCAATGCAACTTCTCCTAGTTCATGTGTGAAGTGTAGCTGTCATACATAAAATGGATGTATAATTAAGTTCCTCCTTAAGATGAATTGAATCTTCTTTATTAGAATGTTCTAATACTCTTTAGCTTAATAACCTCAAACTTAGAAACATGTATTTTAATCAAATAAATATTAATTTCAAAGTAAAAATGAACCAATATATACATGTTAACAAGAACTGCATTTGTAATGCATCAGGCAAAGGTATTGTTTTCGTTCCTGAGTCATAAACGCGCTCTACACTGAAATTTGACTTAACTGTTTAATGATAATAGCTGATCTGTTAATTTCCTTATCTCTTCCAGTATGAAGAAAACAGGGCCAGGAACCAGGCGATGCGACAGAGGCTAATTAATGCTCACAAAAACTCAGAGAAGTGAGCTGTACTGTAGTTGGCCAGCTGCATCTCAATAGAGACACTCAGTTGAAAGCTGGCAGAATACTTCTTTCCCATCACCAGTGCTCAGCCTGTGCTTTCTCAAATGGTGAAGAAATAAACACACCTAATACATATTCATTCCCAGCAAGGCAAACAATGTGGAAAAAAATAGATATGATAAAAGATCACTCACAACTTAACTTAATTTTTGACCTCTAAAAGAAAACTGTTGAGGCAGGTTTTTCTTCTGGCATAGTTTTGTTGTGATTGTTAAGTAATGAGAAATCAGGGGGTGTGTGGAGGTATTATGTGTTCAAGGCTGCTATATTCCCTAACTTGTGTTGAGTTGCACTTATTTATTTGTGTTTAGCAGTTTCTTTTCTGTACCTTGGGTTTTTTGTTTGTTTGTTTTTTCCTTGCAAAACACTGAACGACTTTTTCCATCACTCTTTGTAGTGTTGTGATAATACTGTTTAAATTAATTAGCAAAAAGAAATTTTAAACAGACGTGGCTTGAAATTGGAAGTTGCCTGTCAGGTAATAATTGGAGTTCTAGTATTTTTATTGGAGCTAAAATCATGAAGCTACCGTCTTCCTCTGAGAAGATTAAAAATCCTTCCTACCAACCGTATGTACAGTGTAGACTGTTGTAAGACAATTTGTTCATCATACCCAAAGCAAGCGGCTTTAGAAATTCAGAATGGAACATTTACAGGGATTTACAAAACCTTGCCTTGATTTTTGTTGAGCACAATCAATGCGTGCTGAGTGGTTTTTGAAGAGGAGTGCTGCCAAAAATACAAGCCAAATAGTTCTTCCACATACTCTGGTACAAAGGTGAAGTCAAGTTATGACTGTTGCTGTTGAAGGAAAACTCACATTGAAGTGAAAGAAAGTGTTACTTGCCTTTCAATTAGGCAAGTCAACTAGTATTGTGTTAGCCAAGTTGCCTCATTACCCTACAAGAACTGTTTATTTGCTGTTAAACTGCAAAAAGTCCTTAACAAGTCTCTGAATTCAGAAGATCTGATATTAAAACATATGCTGGTTTGTGCAGTGATGGAGCTGCTTCTCTGGATGTCTGCTGGATTCACCTTATTTTTGAATGACTTTTCTGTTCTGCCTAGCAACAAAAGACTATTTAAAAAAATACAGATTTTATTTAGCCAAATATACTAAGTGTCTTGAAACCTTTTGAAAAAAGGGTGGCTATTCTACAATAAATTCTATGGTTTGTTGTAAGAACCATTGTTGACACTCAGTCTTGACATTGGTATACACGTGTTTTTGGAAGAAAGCTGTATTTTTGTGATCTATTTTGGAAGATTAATTAGATAGAATAATGGTATTTATTTTTCAATATCTGGATGGACCTAGTTAAATTGGTAAAACTTAAGCACAAGTGTTTTCAGTGAAAGTTCCAAGAAAAACTGAAGCAAATGTTTCTGCATTGTTTGACATGCTGTCTGCTTTCTTAGAACAAGTAAATGATGCATTATTTGAATTAAATACTTGAGTGGTTGGAAGTGGTGCAGTCTTTTTATTGGTACTCTTCAGAATACTTTTGAAGAGTACTTCATAGTGAAGTTCTTTAACTGGGAACTCTGCATCCTTGATCCTTCTTCCATTTGTGATGACAAAATCTACTTCAGGCAAGCTCTTAAATAGGATTTGCTGATGCTTGTAATCTTTAAGTAAATAAATAAATATACAATTGTCCTAGAGATTAGGTTGAGAGGCTGATATCTGAGTGCAGAAGCACTGAAGCTTTTCTCTCTTTCATCAGCTTCTGTGAGTCCAGATCTTTCACCACAATAGCGACAAAATAAGAATCCAAGGACCACTTAACATAGCTTATTAGTCAGAATCATGTTTTCAAAGATCAATGTGCTTAATGAATGAAAGACCAAATGGCATGCAAAATTTCTATTGATACTCTGAACTACAATTAGCAATAAATCTATTTTACAGATCAACTTTGTTTACCTAGTGAAAGTATGATCATGTTCATCCTTCTGTTTGTCTTTGCTAATTGCCCACTAGTAGTGTGATATGAGATCACCCATTGATTCCTGTGGTTTTGTTCCTTTTTTTTGAGAAGCGGTTATGTTATTTATTTGATCTTGAAGCTGAGAAACACTAGTCTAGTAATACTTATGATTTATCTGACAAAGAAAGAGGGTAAGGGCGAAATGGTAAATGCATTTTTTTTGTTTCCTAAAGTGAGCTGAGTGGTGAGTAGGGGAAATGCTGGGTGAAATAAACCTCATCTATAAGGACTTTGAAGATGTCTTATTGTAATGTCATTTGTGTATAGAAGCATTTTCCCCATTGTTCTTTCTGAAAGAGCAAGTTTGAGAGAGAAGAAAAAAGAAATTTGATGGAATTTTGTGTTGTGTCATGTGTGAGAAGCTCTTGGGCACTTCACATGGAAGAGTGAAGAAGGGGGAGATACAAACAGAAAGGACAAATGGCAGCTATACAGACCTGGCCATAGCAGTGAGGTCTTCCCATATTCAAGTGCAACAAAGGTCTAGAATACACGGACAGGAGGAGTACAGAGCAAAGGAGTGATAACTACCCAGCAAAATCCCTCCAGCTCTACCAGAAACACCTGGTTACGCTATCGGTAGTATACTTTCTGTTGCTGGAAAATTAAATGCTGACATCTTGTTTTCCTCCCCCCCCCTCCAGTAGAAGGAAAGATACTCTGCTGAATAGCAGCAGCATAATGTAAGTACAGCAGGGCTAGTTCTTGCTCTGGTGTTAACCTCTGCCTGCAAACATCACTGTATTGCTGCTCAATTCTACTAGGAATAGTTTGAAACATTAGTTGTCTGTCAGAGGAAATTAATGTGAGATACATTCCAGTGAGTGCTCAGTGGCTAGCTTGCTATAAATTAACTCGGGACACCCTTAATGTGCAGTGAGTGCCCTGGCACAGCATAGCTTTGCCTCACAAGCGCAATACCAGGGCATAAGCAGCACCTATTGCATGCATGTTTGTGGGCTCTGTGCTGACAGGGAGATAAGAATTTAGTACATCACCATCTAGTCTTTATCCAATTTAACCTTCAACTGTGCTTTCTTGCACTTAATTATTAAGTTGATAAAGAGCTATAATACTGGCTTCCATGTACTATTCTTTTATACCATTTTATGTCTCATCTCATATATGGCCTGCATCTCTTTTGCCTCTTTTTTTGACTTTTTAGCATCAAGGGGCCAAAACATGCCATATCTGCATGGCTCTTTATACAACAGGATTTGAATCTGGTATTACTGTTAAGCAGCAGTGCTGAGTGTTAATATATTATGAATATACTGTTTGTCTTTCCCTGTTTCACTCTAGTTGGTAACACGCTCAAGGAATTATGGCAGAGGCATGTGTTGCAGAAAAAGACTGTGTAGTTTCTAGACCTGGCAGTAAAACCTTGATTCAGTTGAGCTGAGTGATGGTACAATTTGGATGAGGACTGTAGTCCTGTGAGCGTTCTAGCCACTTGCTTCTTCCCATCTGATTCCCAGCGGGTTATTCAAACAGCTGGGGTAATTGCTCACACACACAGGGATGAGCTGACTGTGAACTTTGTAGGTGTGCATAACTTCCCGAATATCAGGGTGTACTAAAAAAAAAACCTGTATGAAATGTAGTCATGGTATACACTCCATGGGAATGATTAATATGAATATTACTAAAATATGCAGCTGAAAAGTTAGTTATGCCTACTGTAATTGTGAATCATTGTAATGAATATTTCGGATGTGTTACGCACTTTGCTAAAGCTTTACACCACATGAATAAAGTGTCTTCAACAGTCAGGCATTGCTTACATTGGCACTGCCTGTGCTGTAAAAGAATGCATGACATCTAATATAAAATCTTTCTGATATAAATGAAAACACAGTTCTGTGGAGTACCTAAAATGACATGAACAGGAAAACTATGATACCAGAATCTGACAGTTTAATTAAAAATGAATTATTAACACTTGTGCTTAAGCAAAGGGGATTCTCTACCTGGACAACATAATGGATTTTAGGGCTGTAGACTTCAGTTACACATTCAATTTTATTAACGTGGACTAAAATGGAGTATCATAGCAAGTCTTAGCGGTCCCATTAGATTCTCTGTTTATTTCACAGAGCCTTTCACTTGTAATTTGCTGACTCTAATTCTGCCTGGCATAACAGGAGGAACCTGATGAAGTTAACAGTCTGGCCTCTTTCACAGAGGTGTTTGCATCACTCAAGGTAAATAGGTATTTGGTATAACAAGCTCCATGATAACCATGCCGCTAATCAACAGAACCTGCTTCGCGGTATATGAAAGTCTACTAATAAAAACTTTTAAGTGAATAGTAAATTCACATCAGGTTCCCCAAACGTATTTAAATTGCTGTGTACTAAAAAAATCTATCAATGGGAATTAAATATATATTTAGCCTAAAAATGGTTCTTGTGAACCGTCACGCTTTAAAATTATTCTTCGAACTATTTGGTGACATTTTGAAGGCTGAGAACTTTGATATGGAGCTATCACTTTAACCAGTGAGACTTTTATTATTTTTTCTGTAGACTCCTAGATAAAACAAGCTACATTTCAAAAAGGTAACTGTGCAGAAAGATCTTCGGGGGCATTCATTACCTGGAAAAGATCTTACTAATGGCTTGACAAAACTCATCCCCAGTACAGACACGAGCCATCCAGAATCTGGTGATTTGGTTTGGGAAAAATGTCACATCTTAAAGAATACAGATGTGTGTAATTAAGTTACATTACAGGAACACAGATATGACCATGTCGCACCCAACATTAAGGTGCTGAAAGAATAGGTTACAAAATATGTGTTTTGTTAGTCTGAAATCAGTGGTCTAAGTCTAATGGCAATACTGTATTTTTACAAAAGCTTTGATTAAAAACTGTTCTTGACCTTTGCTTCCAGCAACCTAGGGCTAGCCTATTTTGACGGTAAGTAAATGTGAAACATTAAGCTAACTGGCTGAAATGGTAATTAATTCCCCACGCTCCCTGTTTAAGTTACGCAGTGACTTCCAAAGGGACGTTTTGCATTGCGAGCCCAAGTGATGACTGCAGTTCCTTCCAGGCGGTCTGCTGCATACGGCAACGCCACTGCAAAATCCTACCTTTACAGCCTGCAAGGAAGAATATCGGCAGGTTTTAGGTATTTTCT